AGGAACGAACTGCCTTTGAACTTGAATTGTCCAATTTCTTACACCTACTGATTTCGGATCGAGCCCAAAACTTGGGCAACAACATGATTGCGTGGGACGAGTCATTTGGTTAAGTTTGAGTGAAATCTGATCTCTAGAACTACCCAAAACACCAACCACTCCAATTAGGAACGAACTTTCTTTGAACTTGAATTGTCCAATTTCTTACACCTATTGATTTCGTATCGACCCCAAAACTTGGGAACTATCGAAATATGGTAGGAGGTGTCATTTGGTTAAGTTTGAGTGAAATCCGATCTCTAGAACTACCCAAAACACCAACCACTCCAATTAGGAACGAACTGCCTTTGAACCTGAATTGTCCAATTTCTTACACCTATTGATTTCGGATCAAGCCCAAAACTTGGGCAACATCATAATATGGTGGGAGGAGTCATTCGGTTAGATTTGACTGAAATCCGATCTCTAGAACTATGGAATACGCCAAACACTCCGATTAGGAACGAACTTCCTTTGAACATAAATTGTCCAATTTCTTACACCTATTGATTTCGGATCGAGCCCAAAACTTGGGCAACATCATAATATGTTGGGAGGAGTCATTTGGTTAGTTTTGAGTGAAATCCGATCTCTAGAACTATGGAATACACCAACCACTCCGATTAGGAACGAACTGCCCTGGAACATAATTTGTCCAATTTCTTACACCTATTGATTTCGGATCGAGCCCAAAACTTGGGCAACGTTATAATATGGTGTGGAGGAGTCATTTCGTTAAGTTTGAGTGAAATCCGATCTCTAGAACTATGGAATACACCAACCACTCCGATTAGGAACGAACTGCCCTGGAACATAATTTGTCCAATTTCTTACACCTATTGATTTCGGATCGAGCCCAAAACTTGGGCAACATCATAATATGGTTGGAGGAGTCATTTGGTTAAGTTTGAGTGAAATCCGATCTCTAGAACTATGGAATACACCAACCACTCCGATTAGGAACGAAATGCCTTTGAGCATAAATTGTCCAATTTCTTGCACCTATTGATTTCGGATCGTGCCCAAAACTTGGGCAACATCATAATAGGGTGGGAGGAGTCATTTCGTTAAGTTTGAGGGAAATCCGATCTCTAGAACTACCCAAAACACCAACCACTCCAACTAGGAACGAACTGCCTTTGAACTTGAATTGTCCAATTTCTTACACCTATTGATCTCGGATCGAGCCCGAAACTTGGGCAACATCATAATATGGTGGGAGGAGTCATTTGGTTGAGTTTGAGTGAAATCCGATCATTAGAACTACCCAAAACCGCAACCTCTCCAATTAGGAACGAACTGCCATTGAACTTGAATTGTCCAATTTCTTACACCTATTGATATCGGATCGAGCCCAAAACTTGGGCAACACCATATTATGATGGGAGGAGTCGTTTGGTTAGTTTTGAGTGAAATCCGCTCTCTAGAACTATGGAATACACCAACCACTCCGATTAGGAACGAACTGCCTTTGA